AATTCCCCCACATCCAAGTCGGCCATTTTTATTAGATCACCAATAGGAAGATCCCAGGCAAGAAAATCCTAATTGCTTCACGGCAATATAGACATTAATTTAAAAATAGTGAAATTAATCTTGAAAACACTGAATTAAACTCTATACATAATATTATGTTGAAATAGTGAATGTAAATACGGTTGTAAAATAAGTCCAAACAAGTTTAAGCAAAATATATTTATTTCTTACGATTATGAAGGGTGGAGGGTCAGGGTTAGGGTTACAGTTATGGTCAGGGTTAGGTTTAGGGTCAGAGGTAGGGTTAGGGTTAGGGTTAGGTTTATGGTTAAGTTTAGGTTTAGGTTAGGGTTAGAGTTATGTTGAAGGTTAGGTTTAGGGTCAGAGTTAGGTTTAGGGTTAGGTTTAGGGTCAGGGTTAGGGTCATTAATGTGGGCCACCATAACATCAGCAACAGGTCAGTTTGAAACCAAAGACACAAACCTGTCAAAATGCAGTTACATTTTGGGGTCCTTGTTTTTATCCTTGTGGTATCGAAAATGGTATCGAGTATCGAATATTTTCCTGAGTATCGGTATGGAGTTGAACATGTTGGTGTGGAGACAGCCCTACCTGGTAGAGGCCGCTGCTGTTGATGAGCACGGGGGCGCAGCTCTGGGAGTCCCAGCCTCCCTGGCCGAACACCTTCTCCAGCTGCTCGATGGTGTAGCTGCTCTTCCTCTTCCCGATGCCGTGTTCCTTCACCCGGCTGTAGCAGCGCCTCAGGGTCTGTTTCACAAAGGGGGGGGGCATGTAAGGATCCCTCCAAAGTAACAAAACTATTCTGTATCTGTATGTACCTTCTTAGATACCTGTATCTGTATGTACCTTCTTAGATACCTGTATCTGTATGTACCTTATTAGATACCTGTATCTGTATCTGCCTTATTAGATACCTGTACCTGTATCTACCTAATTAGATATCTGTATCTGTATCACCTTATTAGATACCTATATCTGTATCTGCCTTATTAGATACCTATATCTGTATCTACCTTATTAGATACCTGTATCTGTATCTACCTTATTAGTTACCTGTATCTGTATGTACCTTCTTAGATACCTGTATCTGTATGTACCTTATTAGATACCTGTATCTGTATCTACCTTATTAGATACCTTTATCTGTATCTGCCTTCTTAGATACCTGTATCTGTATGTACCTTCTTAGATACCTGTATCTGTATGTACCTTATTAGATACCTGTATCTGTGTCTGCCTTATTAGATATCTGTATCTGTATGTACCTTATTAGATACCTGTATCTGTATCTGCCTTATTAGATACCTGTATCTGTATCTACCTTATTAGATACCTGTATCTGTATCTGCATTATTAGATACCTGTATCTGTATCTACCTTATTAGATATCTGTATCTGTATCTTGCCTCATTGAATACTTTATTGATCTCATAAGGAGCAATTACTTCCAGTACAGTCTGAACCAAGATCATACAAACAAAAACACATAGACACACCAGTTCAGGGAAGACCCTCGCACCGTTTTTCTTCAGACCAAAGATACATCAGGATACATCTTTTGTTCCTTTTTTTCCTCTCTTTTTTTTTGTCCCCCCGGTCAGGTTTGGCATTAACCATCTTACTTCATAAATATTTCTGGAAATCAAATGTCCGTCCAGAAATTTGACGGCAAAAAATCTTTTTTAAAGAGATCAGGGGATCCAGAATGGCCGACCGGACATGTAAAACACGCAGAAACACAACTGGTGGATCTGGCTGAGGGGTTTTATTTAAACACCACCATCACTCTGAATGTGTCAACAGGAACAGGGTGAGAAAAACATCCAACATGGAGGCAGTTTGCCCAGAAAAGGCCGGAGCCTGATGGCGGTGGGTTTCTAATGCATATAGGGTCACCATCCGGTGGACCATTAAAGTCTTGTTTTAAACACGCTGACAGCTATTTGACAGAAGAATCATGAGGGCTGGGCTTCTTTTTCATTTCCACCATGAAGCCTGGGAATATTCAGCTGATACAGAGCTGTTGCATCTCAAAGAAGGCAGTCAGAGTAAGAATTTAGGGTGATTTTAGCTGAAAACGACTAATGTTTTGTGTGTGTGTGTGTGTGTGTGTGTTTTCTGACATAAAAACAGACAAAAGTATGTTGAAAATCATTGGCTCCGTGATGTAAACTGAGATATGTTGGTGGTAACTGCTCTTCGTTGTTTATCAGTAGAGACACACCACATTTTGGTGGTTTCCGGTGGAGAAACCTGTCTAAATGAGCTCAATCTCCCATAAATCCACGTCTGTTTATCAACAGGCAGCTGTCAAAGGTGGGGAAACGGGCTCTTGGGTGTCGTGTTTTGGTGTAACTGGCGTTAACAACCGCCAACGGTTCTGCGTTCGACTAACGGAAATCCACCCGGAAGCTCGCGGCCGTTGACGGCTCGCGACCGTTGACGCCACAGGGTCGCGTGCCGGCTGATGGCGGTTGACGGCCGTTAAACAGCCATCATCAGCCATTGTTGCTTCCGGGGTAACCCCCCGCTTACCTTCATCCTCTCCCGGCACTGGGACGGGGTTCGCTCGTAGCCCAGCTCCGCCAGGGCTCTGGACACCCGCTCGTACATGGCGGGACCGGGGGCCTTGCCGGAGAACACGGTGCCGGCCACCTCCAGCTGCTGCATCCGGGCCTCCGTCAGCCTCTCGTTGCCCCACACCGCGATGAGCGCGTTGGTCTCGGAGGGCGTCCATGACATCCCTCGGCAAGCCGTGAAGCTGTTGGAGGAGGACGAGGCCGCCGTCCTGCCCGCGGTCCCGGAGCCCACGTTCAGAGGCGAGAAGCGGTTGGGCGTCGAGGGGTCGGAGTGGTACTGGTTACTGTCACTCAGGTCCTCCGACTCCGGGGACGGCACCTCGGTTTTGGGTATCTTTAACGGCGTCGTTTTCTCTGGAGACAGCTCCGCGTTACTGGACGCCGCCATGTTGCTTCTGTTGCTAAGGGGAGGGGAGGCAAGGTGACGTCACGGCCTCACGTCCGGCGGTTGGGGGGAAACCCCGGCCTGGATCCGGGGGAGTTACGGGCCCGGGGAATGTTTATGTTTGTGTTTATGTTTATGTTTATGTTTATGTTTATGCATTTGGCAGACGCTTTTATCCAAAGCGACTTACAGAGTAGACACAATATTACATTCCTCATCACTATGACAATGGGTCCAGAGGCGGTTAGGCCATTCTTCTTCTTCTTCTCTTTTTTTTTAATGGCGGTTGGCAAACAACTTTTAGGTGCATTAACGCCACCTTCCAGAATGGAATATGGATCCGACAATCTATTAAATTCTTTCTAACACACTTGTTCTTCTTAAAAAAACTGAAAACACTCCCAAAAGCCACATCCCCAGACGACCTCTGAAACAAATCCCCCATATCCAATTTTCTTTTATTCCTGCCTAACTCTCTACATAACCTCTCTCTTTCTTGAGTATATTTACTACATTCCAAAAAATTTCCCACAACCACAACACCCCGTAGTTTGCTTATTAATTATTTTAAGATTATTTCTCACCATTATTTCGGCGAAGTAGTCAAAAAGTCTGAAACAGAGGCCGTTAGATTCAGAAACACATACAAACCTGTCCATTTACAATGCATACTTTTATTGTTTTGGGGAAAAAAAAAAAAA